CCACCTCCACGCTCTGCCAGCAGAAAGGCCAAGGAGCAGCTACACCCCAGAGCAACAAGCAGTTTACCACCATAAAAAACAACAACAACAAAAAAAAAAAAAACAGAGATCCTGGATAAAAGGCTGATTTTAGATCTGAAGTGGGAAATACACAAAATAAGCCTGGAGCATATTTTAGTAGGAAAGAGTATGGGAGTTCTCACCAAAACACAGACACACACACAGACACACACACAGACACACACACACACACACACACACACAATTATGGGGGTCATAGGAACCAGCTGAAAGAATCGTCAGTGGTCAAAATAGAAACATTTGGGCAACAAAAAATAAATTAGTACTGAATTATAACCCAAGGTATGAAATAAATATCCTCGGGTACATACTGATATAATGATTAACTCTATTTATCATTAAGACTAAAAAAAAATTGAGTGTATAATGAATCGAAGAGCACTCTGCTGTCATGTATAACTGATTAGAACCAAAAAAAAATCAAATAAGTGGTTTAAATGAAATAAGTGGGGGAAGAATAAACAAACCTTCTATGCAGACGAATTCCAAATAGTTTATGCAACTATTTCACCCTCGAGGAGGAGAAGCTGAGTCCCTGGTCCTTGAGCAAGGGCTATCCGTAGCCAACTCCTCCCCAAGAGCACACCAAGGAGGTACAAAATAAGTGGATTTATGGCAGAGAAACCTCAAAACCACCATGTCAGTGAAGTGCTCCAGGCAACCCTAATGGGCAAAATCCAGCTGATCCTACGCAGCCCTCACCTGTGACAATGGCATTTGGCCTCTGTGCTGTTCGCCTTGGAACCCTGAAGTCGCAACGTAAGCATAAGGAAAACGGACACATACCAAAGGGACGTTGCACAAAGTACCCAGCAAGAGCACTTCTCAAAACTGTGGAAGTCATCAAAAACAAGGAAGGTCTAAGAAATGGTCACCGTCAAAAAGAGGCCAAAGCTCACCTGATAAATACACACCAGGGAGTATCCAGGATGGGATTCTGGAGCAGGAAAAGGACGTTAGGTGAAAACAAAGGGAAGCCGAGCAAACCATGGACTTAGCTTATAATAATGCACTGATATTGTTCCATTTCCCCCAACAGATGTGCCATTCTAAACTCAATATTAGTTGGAGGGAAACAGAGTGTAGTATGTGTGGATTTCCCTGCTACATTCCCAGTGTTCCTGTATATCAGAAGTATCTAAAATAAGTTTATTCAATAATAGTGACAGAAAAATTTTATAAGGTGTAGTGACACCATGTAGCAATGAAGAAATATGAACAGCACTTTGGGGGCAGGAGACAGAATGAATTCCAAAGTGAGTTTTTGAAGATTTCAGCTCCCCAAAACTAAGCACTCTTGTATTTGGGTACCATGTCTAAATTTATCCATCTGTATGAAGTATGTATTTTGAGCATTGCAGCAAACATTATATTTTACAATTATTAATGATCATATCAACTTCAGTCTTTATAAATCTTTTTATTTTTAGAAAAAGAAGCTTCATTCTATCAAAAGTAAAGAAATAACAATCATCTGGGCATGTGGTATAGGCCTGTAATCCCAACAACTCGGGAGGCTGAAGCAAGAGGATCATACATTAGAGGCTAGCCTCAACATCTTAGTAAGGCCCTAAGCAACTTAACAAGAACCTATCTCAAAATAAAAAATGAAAAAGGACTAGGGATGTGATTCAGTGGTTAAGCACTTCCAGGTTAAATCCCCAGTATCAAAAAAAAAAAAAAAAAAAAAAAAAAAGAATGAAAGAGAGGAAGAAGAAGAAGGAGGAGGAGGAGGAGAGGAGAAAGAAAGAAAAGAAATAAAAACAATCATGTTTGGTGGAATATGGAAGCATTCTGCATTTAGAAAAGCATGACCTCCTCTTTATTCAACCTTTAGTCTAGAAAAATCAGTAACCATTCAGGCATCCCCTTGCAACTAAAAAACATTTAATGATCCAGATATACCAAGCATACTCCCTGGAAGTTCCCTGAACATTTATGGCACATGTGATTTTTTTCAGGGTCGAGGTTTCCTACATTCAAAGTGCTTTTTCTAAGTTCAAAATGCATTTTTTCAAGGTCCACCTCAGACATCTTCTCCCCGCTCCCCATTCAGAAAGCCTTACTCATTTTTCTGAGCAGCAGTAGTTACATGGCCCCCTACTATCTGATGCCATCTATCTACAGGTGTCTCCCATTTGGATATCAGCTTTTTTCTTTCTTTTTTTTTAATTGTACCAGGGATTGAACCAGTGGCACTTAACCATGAAACCACATCCCTAGTCCTTTTTATTTTTCATTTTGAGACAGGGTCTTCCTGAGTTGCTGAGGCTGGCTTTGAATTTGTGATTCTCCTTCCTCAGCCTTCTGAGTTGCTGGGATTACCTGACAGGCATTCATTCACACCATGCCTGGCAAATAAATCTTTCTTCCTTTTTTTTTTTTTTTAATTTGGATCGAACCCAGAGCCTTGAGCATGCTAGGCAAATGTTTTACCACTGAGTTGTTTCTCCATCCCTGGTTATCAGCTTCTTAATAGCAAGATGGACATCTTGGCTCCAATTGCTCTCAGTACAGAATCTGACATTCATTCATTCATCCAACGTCCATTTATGACATGCCCACCATTTGGTTCCATGGAATGAACTGCAGGGGGGAAATTACAGACAAAGGTTAACAACTGAATCTTAATATTGTGGAAAATTTTTTCAAGCTAGGAAAGCTCTGAGAAAAAATGAGAAGGATATTGATATAGACCAGATGTACTGAAAGCATTAACAGAGGACTTATACCACAAGACTGATTTATTTTAAAAGCCAGTGTATGTGTTCCTAAGTGAGGGTTTCTCTCTTCTACCACTTTGACCATTTTCTGTGATCTGAAACCCCTACTGCTTGTGTATAAAAGGGTGAGTGAAATAAATCAATCAATGTTTATTTTCAAATAAAACACAAATGAGCAGTAAGAATTTAGGGTAAGGGAAAAGACACTGTTTTGTGGCAAATGCCTGAGGTACAACTTATAACCTTCATGGTTAGTACATGGATTCTTAAAAGAGAATTTGCTTCCTTTTGAAACTTTCTATTGAAGCAAAATACATTGCTATCTCAGTGTAGACATCATACTTAGACTTATTTCAAATACCATTTTTGTGTGTGCTCTTGCAAAATATTTGTTTTCCTGTTTCTTTAGCACAGATTAATTTAAATTCAATTTTTCAAATCATTAGTGTCAATTTTTTAAAAACTATCATTGTACTAGTCAGCTTTTCACCACATAACAAAATGCCTGAGATAACCAACTTTAATATGTTGTCTTAGGGATTAACTGATTCTGTGACCCTTACTGAGATCCCATCAATGCTGAAGAAACTCTCGTCCATGTCCACTTTAAAGGGTAGAGCATAATGAATGCATTAATTTTCAAAACATTCATTTAAAACTCAGATTAGTTCTGAAACAATTTAGATTCCCCATGAGCTATCCACAGGACTACACAATCTACAAGACCCCAGTGTGATAGACACTAAAGCACCCCAACGTGCCATCAGCTCACTGAGTTCAAATCCTGGCCCCACCACAGGATCAGCTCTGAGCAACTTCTTCTTGGTCCCTGGGCATTCCTCATCATTCATCCATCTAGACACCACTTAGTTTCGTTCTTACTCATCCTCAGAGTGTCAAGATTATAATGTCAAGTTTACAGTGAGCAAGACAGGCTCGGTGGCTGACTTTCTAGTGGGTGAATTTACAATAGAAATAACAACAGCCATCATGTATGGTTGTAAATATCAAATGGAAGCAAGCATGTGAGGCATGTGGGAGTCACTCAGTGATGGCTGTGGTTATCCAATCCTCAACACAGTGCCACACACATGGTCTCAGCCTGAATGTACTCCATCCATTCTTTATTCATTATTGACAGTCTTTACATATGGCTCCTCACCTCCACTGTTCTACACAAACATCCACCATTTCTTATCCCTCAAGGATGAGCTCATTAGGCCTCCTTGCTGAAGAGCTTCAAGATGAGATGATTTTTAAACCAGACCAGGCTCGTTCATGATGGCCACATCTCTGGCAAGAGTTATACTGGAAACTCTCTGTGGATTCTGCGCAGACACAGCTCACAGCCTCCCGCCCACATCTGTGCAGGCGGTGGGAATGGGGTCTCCCTCAGTGGAATGGGCTGGCTGAGAAATAAAAGCTAGGAGAAATAAAACAGTGAAAAAACCACAAAACACAGAAAGTAGTTTCAAAAGCGGGGGCAGAACGGGCAAGCTGATCAGACGGATGGAGCTTCTAGACAAAATGGGGCCCACGCCTGCTTTATTTATATTGGGAAACATCAAATAGATTCTATAGAATGTTCTTCTCCAAAAAAGGTTAAGGGTGGCTCTTCAGTTCTTAACGGGTTACACCCATCTCCAGAGCTAATATGAGGAGCCTTCCTAGCAGAGCAGAGGGAAAGGTGACATGCCTTGGGCAATCTATTGCCCATGGAAAGTTCCCAATGCCAGGCCTGTCTCTCCCTGGATACCATGCTGAGAGAAGAGCCTAGTGTATTTCACGGATGGCTTCCCGCAATGGCCCATACCCACTGCCTAGGAAATGCCTGAGCTTCCTGCAGCCGCCATATTCTTCCCCGGTTATCACTTGGAGGTATCCAGTCAGATGATCATGATGTGGTATCTCCCTCTTTGTTGGTGAGAGGGTTTTCTTCCTTGGAAGTTTCTCAGAAATTCTTCACATATTGCTAATTAAATTAAGAGAAAGATGAGTAGAATAACCCTGTTTAAGACACCTTCCTTTCAGTCTGCCTTCCATGAAATAGGCCCACTCCTAATGCACGGTTGTTTGGAGTGATTGATTATCTGTCTGAAAACTGAAGAGTGGCTTCTAAATGTGTTTACGTGTTGAAGCATGAAAAGCGACCCTGGGCAGAAAGGAGTGTGTGATGCTACGTGTGTTTGTTTCTAGACACTGTGAGAAGTTGTGTGGCGAAGCTGTTCTTCACCTGTTCCCTCAAGGGTCATTACTGCCTGTACAGCAAGTCCAGCTTCATCCTCATCAGCCAAGAGCCTCAGCGGTGGATCCAGATCATGCTTCTGTTTCAGCAGGTGTGTGCAATTCATGTTCATTGGGCTCTTCAACAAGCAGGTTGGATATGAGCTCCTGTCATCCCATTGAATTATTTATTCTTTGTCCAGAGTTGATATGTAAATAACAGCAACACATCATCATTTCTTTTTCTCTATTTTAAGATAGTTTCCTTGTAAAGGAACCTGGATTATAAATCAGAAGGCCAAAGCTACTATTAAAACAGGGATCGAACCTGGGGTCATTTAACCACTGAGCAACATCCCCAGCCCTTTTTATTTTTTATTTTGAGATGGGGTATCCCTGAGTTGCTTAGGACCTTGATAAGTTGCTGAGGCTGGCTTTGAACTTGCAATCCTCCTGTCTCATCCTCTGGAGTTGCTGGGATTATAGGTGTTGCCCTTGCACCCGATCAAAGCTATTCTTATCTTGAATATCCTTAGCTTTACAATAGAAGAATGCCACAGAAAATATTCTTTTAAACAACAGCAACAATAAAAATATCTTAGTTGGGGAAATAGCTTATCTTTGGTAGAGCTAGCCTTGGTTTCCCCAGTTTTCTAAACTCTAGTTGATTTTAGTGTAAGTGCATTCTTTCTGGCATTATCACACAGGAATGCCACTTTTTTTCTATCAAATACATGTATATAGATGAAATTACCTAAAGAGCATCTTTAAACTTAACAGTGAAGAATGTCATGCAAAAATGTCGAAGTACCTTAGATGCACAGAAAATGCAAACGTAGACTATAAAATGTTTGTAATAAAGGAGATCTCAGATATCATCTTTACAGATAAGAAAACTCAAGGGCAAGCTCAGATCATCAGCCATCTTCCCATTTTTGCACATGTGTTGAAAACTAACATGGGGAGATGCAGGTAAGAGAATGCAGGACAGAGTCAGGAAAAAAGAGAGTACAGATGTTAAATAGGGTTGAAACTTAAGCCAAGTGATAAGATAGATTTTCACTTCAGTTAATAAAATATTTCTATAACTCCTACAAAACTCACCAACCAGAGAGTCATATTTCTTTATAAAATCAAGATTTTTGAGAAAAATGGATTTTCATGCTGAATACATGTTAATTACCATATAACTATGGTTGGATGTGGCTCAGAGATGCCATTTTCCCCTGTGTTAGTTTTAAGAACACTTACCGTCTCCTACAGAACACTCAGATTTTGATGTGAACCACATTGTATGTGAACATAAAATAACATTGATTCTTCTTCCTATTCCTGAAATAATGATCATAGTTTTCTTCTACTTAGATTTTTCAAATAGTTTTCATAAGCGTCTCTGTATCTGGTTTCATTGGCTTTGTTCTTAACAGTTGTCAGTTTTCTAAGAACAAATCAAGAAAATCTGCTTTTTTTTTTGCCCCTTCAGCCTTATTTTATTGACCTACTCTGATCTTTTTTTTTCTCTTTAAGCACAATGACTAAAAAAGCATCTTTTTATGATTTTCCTTTGTGTTCATTTTACAATAATGGCTCCTTTCTTTTTCCACACCTTTGATCTTATGTAATCTTCTGGGAAAATTATGGCTTTAGGGTAAGTGAAAAATAAAACTTTCACTGGGTAATTACCAACCCAACCCCAGTGGTGGGTGCTGAGCCAGACTCTCACTTTTCTGACAACCTTGCACAGTCATGAATGCTTCATTAGATCAGATTTAGCACGTCTCTAGACGAGACATCCATCGTGCATAACCTTCTATTAGCATAAAGAAATCCACAAATGTTTCCACGTGAGAAGCTGAATAATCAGAAACTTCTTAATTATACCAACCACTTACTTGGGGTTTGATATCCTCCTCCTTTTCCTGCTCAATACCAGCTCATTTTCATTGATGATAATGAGATTTTTCTGGGAAAAAAATGTGCATTAATCCTTATTCACTAAATAGAAGCTTTGCACACACCTTAAAGTTTCATTGTGCAACACCTGGACAATCATTGTCATAGCCAATAAGACCTTACAAGCAATTCTCCTTATCATACCCTTCATCATTCATATGGAATAATATTTCTACTATTTTGTATGAGTAAATGATATTTTATACTCTTTATTGACATTCCACATATTTTTGAAAATCATCCCCTTGAGTTGAAAGGCCTCTTACATTCACAGGTATGGTAAAAGGGTATTAGATACCTTGTTGATTAGTAAATATATAAACAAGTTTAACTCTTCCTTCAAAGAGCTTATTTTCACTGGATTGAATGAAGTACATGTAAATATAATTCTCTTTACTTTAACAACATATTGCCCAACACTTAAAGAAATTATCTTAAAGTTTGAAGAATATCTGCCCATGATTCACTTATCATTAAAAGTGGTTTTGTTTCCCACATGTACCCGCTCAAACTGCTAATGTTTATATAATTATGTTATGGATTCTTGGTTGTTTTTTATTCTTCATAATCTACTCTGTACAAACAGACTTGATATTTGTACTGTAGTTTTGATTTTAGGCCTTAATTCACAGATCTTTGATAAAATAAATTTGAATATTTGCATTAGCCACTTTTTAAAGCAACATTCTTGGGAAATCATCAAGATAAACATTATGTTACATTGTTGAGGCATATTTGTGCAGATCCATATCAAGTGCCTTGAAAATTCTATTAAATAATTTATATGTTCTGTTAAAAAAAACAAAAAGCCTGAAATCTATGTCCGTTCTCCAAGATGGAGTTCCTCATTATCCATAAATCTAAACAGTGGTAAGTTCCGGCCAAGCCTACACAGGCCTTGGAACCCATGGAACGTCTCTGTTGGACCCAGAAGTAATGCTGTCTCTTCCCTTCACACCCACTCAGAGCCTGTTTCCTGAGCCCCTGTCCATACAGAGCCGCTCCGTGCAGTTCCTCAGAGCGCTGTGGGAGAAGACCCAGGCAGGAGCCACCCACAGCTTCGAAACAGCCATGACAGAGTCCACGTTTCCTCAGCAGAAGGTAAATGCTTCTCTCCCTGGGCGTGATGTTTAAAAGCAGGATTCAAGATGGCCTTCAGTTTGCCTTTCTCTTAACCATTTGGTTGTTTCCTCCTTTCCTTGCCCCTCTCTTATTATCAGAAAACATGCACTAAGGAAGGACTTTCAGGCCGTGCCACACTGGACTCACACAGTGGCATCCTAGACAGAGCCTCTGTCCTTGTGGGCCCACAGGATGACATGGCTCGGCCCACTCACACCACACAAAACCTGCACACATCCTGTGGAATTGAGGCACTTTATGGAAGCAGATTGTGGGCTCAAGGACTGAAAAGGAAAGAGCCCAGGAAAGTGGGCTGGAGGGTCTTTGGTGCTTCCATTCCTTCCATCTTTACCACCTCTCATTCCTTTGTCATTGGCCGTCACCACAGAACAAGAAAACGAGGGTAAACCGGACAGGAAGAGAGAGCGGTCAGGGTAGGAAGCTCTTTGGAGGCAGGCACTGTGGCGGGAGATACAAAACCTTCCAGGAGCATGGAAGCAGGGCATGGCCCTCAGACACAGCCAGCTGAGACCTGAGCAGACCGCTGTGCTGGGGAAGTCCCCTGTAGAGAACCAGACCCAGCCCCTCGATAGGGGGAACCTGGCCATGGAGGACACTGGTGTGCTCAGAGTTTCCTATGAGAAAAGTCAGGACCAAGGCACCGCGGGCAATAATGAGAGGAAGCCTTTCTAGAATAAGAAGGCATCTGAAGAAAACTTCATTTCTTCTCGGGAAATGAAGGCGCCAAGGTTGGAAGGCGCCAAATTTGGGAACTTAAACCCAACTTCATACTCTATGGCAGTATTAAGCGTGGAACATTTGAAAACTGTTCAAGTCAGGAAGGTGAAACCCTCATGGGTGGGATTAATGGCTTTGTAGAAATGCTAGGAGGAACCAGCTAGGCCCTTTTGCCCTTCTGCCTTCTACCGGGTAAGGAAGCAGCATCCAAAGCACCGTATTGGAAACGGACACCAAGCTCTCACCAGATTCCAGTCCAGCCTGTGCCCTAGTACTGGACCTTCCAGCCTCCAGAACTATGAGAAATGAATTTTTTTTTTCTTTTGGTTAAAAAGACTAAGATAGAAGGTCTGAACTGAAGATGGAAGTTGTAAAAAAAAAAAAAAAATGACTAGAAGAGCTATTAAGAAAGTCAAACCTACAAGACATGGTATCTGATAATGAAAAAGGAAGGTTCCAGGGACACTCCAGGTGCATCATTTGGCCAAAGAGGTGATGGCACTGCCCTGAAAGAAAGACCACAAAGGAAGCTGGTGGAGGTGTGGAAAACACAAGGCCTTCTGGTTGTGTTAGTCAGCCCCCTAACACTTGAGAAAATGCCTGAGATAAACAAACTTATAGGGAGGAAAGGTTTATTTTGGCTCATGATTTCAGAGGTTTCAGTCCATGGTCAGTAGGCCTTGGTGCTTCAGGCCAGTGATGAGGTTATACCTCCTGGTGGGAGCATGAAGAGAAAGAAACTTCACCTTGAGGTAGCAGGGAGGTAAAGAAAGAGAGGTGGGGGCTGGGTTCCCCATACTCCCCCAAGGTCCTATCCCCATCATCTAACTTCCTTCCATCCACTAAGCTCCACCTCCTGAAGGTCCCACCACCTCCCCGTAGCACCCCAGGCTGATGACCAAGCCTTCAACACAGGGTCTCTGGGTGACATTTCAGATCTGAACTCGAGCACTGGTTTACCCATTTTGGTTGAAATGACAGTGTGGGTCTCACAAAGACCCAGACTGGAGATGTGGCCTCGGGAGCCATGAGTACAAGTTGTTGCCATACGTTAGGCTGGACCCCTCTAGGGGAGCAGGTTTGTGAATGGAGGATGGCATTGGGCTCTCCTGGCAGATACTGGCAGCTTCTCTCTTTAAGCTCTTTCCAGACTCTGAGATTCTGGTTACCCTAATTTTGCTTTCAAGAAAGCCAGTAATAAATAGTGGGTGCCTACTGGGAAAGCCAGAGGTCCTGAGAGTATACAATCAGGGTCTCTGTCCTAATTCTACTTTTCTTCTTGTGGTTGATACATAAAAATTGTACAAAAATGTGGAATACTGGGGCATTTCAATGCATGTGGACATTGTGTAATGTTCAAATCATGGCAAGCATATCTATCTCTTCAAATATTATTGTCACTATCTATAGTCACCTAACTCTGCAATGGAACACCAGAACCTCTATCTCTTATCTAACTATAAATTGGTACCAGTTGACTAATCTTCCTCTCCCCCTCCCCCCCCCCATTTTATTATTGAGAAGGAAAACAACCACTCCAATATTCAATTCGAAATTAGCAAATTAATTAATCAAAACCTGTTATATTGTGATACAAACTCAACATCTCGTAAGTGGTGAATGATTGCAGCAGGATGTGAAATGGATGTGATTAATCAGATGTTTATTTATAAGGGTCTGTAAGACACTAAAGACAAAGCGGGCTGTGGCACTGCTCATTTTTTTTGGCTTTGGTTTAAGAGTTTGACATTCGGAGTTCAAGATACAGGAAATGCCACGATGGCATCAGCATAAAGTAAGATGGAATTCTTCCCACATTTCATTCAAATTTTCAATTGTTGCATCATGTTCAAAGACAATGTCTCAAATTCTCATAAATTTTTCATTGTGAGCTGCATTTTAACTAGAGGCAACCAGTAAATTAAAACTTGGCCGGCTGCTTCAAGTCCTAAGAGATTAAACTAAAAATCTTGGCAAACAGTTTTGTACTTGCTTACAAGTGTGCTTATTCATATTTCTTTTATTTCACACAAATAAATATTCCTCTAGGGGAAAATTAACTGTAAACCAAATTTTTGAAATATTTGAAGTTTCAACATTTGTTTTATTCATGAGTAATAGAAAAACTTGATATCTGGAATGTACATTATGGGGTAAACTTATCTGCCCAGGAATTTCTCAATCCAGTTGACTTTCTCCTGTCTTTCCTGAAGCATTCTGCATACTAGATTCAAAATAGCTGTGAGGATTGTGCAGAGTTTGCTCTATTTTCACAGTGTATGCTGACATGTGCACCCCCCTTATTTGGTAGTGGTGGACATATGTGCATCTGCTGCTCTGATGGAGTTGGTCATGTGTCTTGCTTCAACTACAGACTGTGAGAGGGTTGTGTACTGTTCCAGGCAGCTTCCAAAGGCAGTGTGCCAGTTTTTGTCCCTCTTTTTTCCACCATAGTGACTGGGAAGGCCAGTATAGATGTTGGAGTCCAGGGAGGGGATACTGCCTGGAATTCTGAGCCTCATGTGGAGGTCTGCTGCTCTGAGAGCCAGATCTTCCCATCACACCCTTTGCCTGAGCAAGAAACAATCTTTGCTTTGTTATAAACTGAAGCTTTGCCATTAATTATGACAGCATAACCTACAGTTCTTGATTCATACACATACCAGAGTAGCTAAGCATGTAGCTCTGAAGTCAGATTACCTGGGTTTAAAATCTGACCCTGCCACCAACCAGTACTGTGGCCTTTGTCTCTGTGCCCCAGTTTTATTATCTGAACAATGGATATTTTACTAGTGCCCCATTAGTTACCTCATAGATCTGCTTTGAGGATTGAATGAGTTAACACATGTACAGCTCTTAGAAAAGTGACCGTACACTTTTATCTTCCAATAAATCTTTCTAATATTTTAATTCCTAGATAGTGCTTTTCTGCCTTTCTCTAAAATAATACAAATTAAAATCTGTCTTAGATACACTAAGAGGTTCAGAGTGGAGATAGAAAGATAACCTGAAGAATAAGCTCATAAGTTATTAAACTTTTCTAATTTGATTAGACCAACATTATCAGATAACATTCTCCAAGTTTCGAACATGAATTTTCATTATAAAACTCAATCAAATTATCATTTGCAAACTATCAGTTTCATATAGGAATTGAAGTGTGGACATTCTTATATATAAGAAAAATTTAATAATAGTACAACACATAAGTTCAAGGGTTCAAATAAAACCTTATCATCCCTAGGTACTTAAATAGCTTTTGATAAAATCCTACACCACTTTAAATAATCACACAGTTTGCATAAAAATTTTATTAATGTCTGTTTCCCTAATTAAACTTTTTTTCATGAGAATACATGCATATAATTGTACACCCAACACCAAGAGCATCATCAGGCACATGAGAGGCAATCAGCGATATGCACTGACTGAATCAAATGAAAGAACATGGCTACTTACTATGCTTAGTGGTAAACAAGGGAAGATGTTTCACTTCATACTATACTTAAAAAGTCAAATGAATTTTTTAAAACTTAAAAAGGAGAATAGATATCAAAATCCTAGGGGCAATTTATACATATAGAAAAACTTAGAGATCTTTTGCTATAATTAGAAATTAAACTCCCTCAACATTCAACCTATTACAGAGGGTCCTATCCAAGGTAGGACAATAAAAATGCTGATAAAAGCAATTATTGAAAGAGAAGAAATTAGGGAGAGAAATACAAAAAAAGGTACCAAGAGAAAGAAATTATTTGTGGATTGTAAGATATTTGTATAGAAAAAAATAAAGAGAACCTAATATTTAGAATTTGTGCAGAAGATTCTGAAGTTATTTGATAAAAGATGAATGTCTAAAATCAATAATAATCCACACATAAGTAATAACTAATTAGAAAATACAGTAAAAAGATGCCACTTACCATAGCTATAAAATCTATAGAGGACATATGATTAAGTATAAGATGGGAAGCTCTTTAATAAAGAAATTTTTGTACAGAATGCAAAATAAGACTTGGTCTCGTTTTTTCTACAAATGGGTAAAATGTTTTCTGAGCACCACTTAAAAAGCTGCCTTTTCTTCAATGTAAGTTTGGGGCACTTTTGTCAAGGATCAGATGACTATCTGAGTGAGTTTGTCTCTGAGTCTTCTACTCTGTACCATTGGTCTATTTGTCTATTTCTGTGCCAGTACCATGCAGCTTTTGTTACTATAATTTGGTCAGCATTGCTCTTTTAGC